GGGGACAGCAGGTGTGTGTCTATGTGTGTCTTTTAGTTTTCAACTTGGCTGCGAGTCACACAAAACCTCAGCAGCAGCCCAAGAGAAAGAGAAGTTGCTTGCCTCTTTCTGGTCCAGGGCTGGCATAACACCTCCATGTCTTTAGAGCTCCATGGGCTGAGGTGTTGCTTCCCCATCCTTCATGTTAAACTTTGCTGGGGGCCTGGGGCCTTTCCCTAGGAAGGCGCAGGCCAGGCACAGGGTGTCTGCAGTCAGAAGGGCCCCTGCTTCTCTCCCAGCTGCTCTCTGCTGACTGGGTGTTCACCTGGAACCTCCTGTGGCTGAGCCAGAGCGGCCTTCTTTTGTGAGATGAGTAGATCTCAAAAAACCCACGTGGCAGGGAGTGGACCCGGAAGAATGACTAGACAAGGGCTAAGGGGGAAACTTGGAAGCGTAAAGATCACCAGACGGAGAGTCAGGACATGTGGGCGTCTGCCCTCACTCTGCTCTGTGACTTGTGAAGGTCATGCTGGAGCCTGACTGGATCACGAATTAAGTGATCTTCTAAAGCTTTTAGAAGCCAAAAGAGCAACTTTGGCTTCTAAACACGGCTTACAGCCGTGTCCTGTAATGACAGGGTTACTTTCTGGGAAATGAGTCCTTGTGTGAGTGTCACAGAGTGTGGTTACGCATACCCAGAAGGGCTGCGCTCTGTGGTGTAGCCTGTTGGGACCAACGTCATATATGAGGTCCGTCATTGAACAAAACATCGTTATGTGGTGCTGTGCCAGCCTGCAGGAGCCCAGCTACATGCAAACCCAAGAAGAGCCATCTTCTTGTTGGAGATGAGGGGGTTGATGGAGGTCCTAGTGCCTCCATTCATTTCCTCAACTAGCAAGTGTTGAGCTTTGGCTCTGTGCCAGAAGCTGAGAATACTGCATAAATAAGGTCAAGTTGCTGCCTTTGAGCCAGGGCCAGATCATGGAGATCCTGGATAACTTATGCCTGAGCAGGTTGCCACATGAGAACAGAGACGCGCTCTGCAAGGCATTTAGAGACAATGTACACTTCCCATCAACTCCGATTACTGGTTGAGCTCTGAACTGCAGATCTGTTCATGTCACATCCAGGCTCAAAACCTACCATGACTTCTTGTGATCTGTTAGATTAGGCTCAGACTCCTGGTTGGGCTCTCAGACCCTGTGTCCTACCACTTCTGCCAACCTATTCCTTTTACCACTCACTGCCTCCCTCCACCACCTTGCTCCCCACCCCAGCCATCCCTGACTCATCTCCCTCATCTCATAACCCTTCCATGCTGTTGTTTATTCACTCGTTTCTTCGTTTATTTATTATTAGACACTTTTTGAGCAACTGCTGCATTCTCGGGGGACAAAACTGCAAATAAGATACTACTCCAGCCCCCAGGAGTTGAGTCTGGTAGGAAAGAGAAGTAAAGAGATGGTTGCAAACACAGTGGAATTCATACTGTAAAGGTTAGGAGTTGGGACTGGCCAACTCTGCCTAAATGTTGGTGAGGGCATTGTTAGAGGACAGGCCAGAGCAGGTGCTGCACCTGTCTTCTTCCTGCTCCTGGTGGACTGGAGGTTCCTGGGGGCTCATGAGAGAAGGAATCTTATAGAAACATCTTGAGATCTTTGGAGTCCTACATTAAGGGGCTTACCTCCAGCCCCCTGCCATAGCATCTTCCCCTGCCAGCTCAGCTGCCTTGGGTGTCATGCCACATCCAAGTGAATCATACCAGGGGACTCCAGGACAAGGAAGAAGCCTGGAAGCTTCCATCTGGCTGGGACTAGCATGTGGCCAGATGTTCTCTGAAGTAGGGACACTCACTTCTCTGTGCTGGAGGGAAACAGATCCCTAGAACCTTAGCAATGTAGGTAGTAGTGGGTAGGAAGGACATCAGTCTAAAAGATGAAGCCAGATAAGCCCAGAAACTGGGGGAACCCACTCTATCCCAGGGATCAACAAGTAGAATTTGATTTTCTAGAAAACTATGACTAAGAAGACTAGAGAAGGCAGGGCAAGCAGGTGGATTAAAAGGGGGTGCTTGCCTTATCTTACCCTCCCATTTGTGGCAGATGCAGGTGTTTCTTAGTCACATGGAACCAAGAATGGTCTAGAGAGGACTTACAGAAGAGCAAGCTGGAAGAGGGAACCAAGCTCTAATCCTGGCTGCCACATGCCAGCTGCATGGCCCAGGGAAGACCACGGGAAGCTTTCGTCTCTTTAGCCGGGCATCCAGGAAATCAGCTCGTTGATCTAGGAGGCAGTTGTGCATTGTAGTGGAGGAGCTGGGACCTTGGAGTCAGAGCGCCTGAGTTAATATTCCAGCTCCATTTCCTTAGTCGCATGAACTGAGTACATCACCCCAGCCAACCTCAGTAATAATCATAGTTCCCACCTCCTGTTGTCAGGCATCTAAATGGGACAATGCATCCTTTTTGACTCATAGTAACAATGACTTGGCCTTTCCAGTTATAAAAGTCAATAAATCTTTGTCCTACACAACCAAATAGGGAAGACAGAGAGGAAACCTGTTATCGCAGTGGAAATTCTCATGCATTCCCTCTCTTCACGTCCTGTCAGGTTCCCATTTTGGTTGAATTTTGTTGTTGTCAGTGACATTGTTAGTTAATATGGGAGGGAGGAGGGAACAGATTTCCTCCATCCTCTAAGACTTCAAAAGCTTTCTCCTGCGGGTGGTATGCAGGTGATACCCCCAAGCCACGGGCCCACTCAGCAGCCCCTGGCCCACACGGCACTCATGCGCCTGTGGTATTGGGGAAGATACGGTGAACGTTCTATATAGGGTTCTTCAAGTCATTGCTGAAAATACCAAGTCATTGCTGAAAATACCCAGGAGGTGGATTTGGTATCCTGCCTAGGAGGGTCCTGCCAGAGACATCCGCCTGACTCGAGGCCCAGGAGGAGAAGTCTGGTATCAAGTCTCACCTGGCAGGAAATGAACCCGGAGTGGAATATGCACAAGTGTCCCAGCTTCCAGGCTCCCTTCAGGCGCCCTGACGGAATGGAGGATCAGGTGGCCCAAGCTGACAGGGCGAGGAGACAACAGCCTTGTGGCCCAAGGATGGATTTCCTGTGGAGAGGAAGTTGGGGTCACCCAAGTTCTGAATCACCATGCCCACAAGTCTGGAGTCATGAGGGACCTTATGGGACCCTTTCTCACCATCTGGGCCTCTGTTTCCCTTTCTGCAACATCGGCAGACAATCTACCCCTACACTCCCACACCCCATTGTTCCAGAGATCACTTATGGTAAAAGGAAGTTAGAGACACATTTTTTTTTAAGTTTTATTTATTTACGCATACAAAAACTGGGGTACAGGCCAGAGGTGCAGGGGGTGAGAGGATTCACCAGAGACAGAGTAGGGAACAGAACAGGAAGACTGAAATACACTGCTGAGGGGAGCAGCGAGCAAGACAGGAGAGGTCTGCTGCACCATGTGGGTAGCTCCCTGGCCAGCCAGGGATCGAACTCATGCTGCAGAGACCGCAGATAGCTTCAAAGTGCTGTGTTTAACCCCTTGTGCCACCAAGGAGGCCCTAGAGACACATTCTTAAAGAGTAGAAGGACTCAGAAGTACCTGGGGGTGTCTAGCAGGACAGCCCTCACTCGTTTCAGATCCCCTGCTATGTGACAATTGCCATAGCTAGCACTCACCCAGAACTTTCTCTGGAGGGCAGTCTTCTGCACCCTCTACACTAACTCATTCTGTCCACACCACAGCCTGCCCAGGCAAATGGGTTATCATCCCCAAGGTACGAATGAGACTTGGAGAAACTGAGAGATGTACCTGGGTGCTGGTTGATTTCTAGTGGACTTGGGGTGGAATCATGGGCCCCTCTCTGTCTGTACCAAGAACCCCAGGGGGGCCCTCAGACCCTGTCCTCCAAGCTCTTACACTCCAGCAGGCCTGCACTAAGCATGTAGTGACCGGGCTCTCTTGGTGGATGAGACAAGGTCCCAGACCCTGGCAGGTGAATAGCAAACAAGGCTGCATACCCAAGTGCAGTGCCAGGCCACAGGAGCCGTTAGCCAAGGCACAGGGCTGGGTGAGAGCAAGGGACCCCTGGGGCGGGAGGGGCTGGTGAGCCATGCAGTGGACCAGAGCACATGGTTCCGGTGGTCACAGTGGGAAGGGAACCCCATCCCACAACCCTTTTCCCTCTGTCCCCCTCTAGCCTTCCCCACTCATCCAGTAAGTCAGTGATGGGAAGGCGCCCTTGGCCTGCTGGTAATGCCATGAGCAGCCTGTGGGCAAAGGGGAAGCTAGGAGGGAAGGAGAAAGGTGAGCCATCCCAGTGCCCTCGGATCAGAGGGTGGCAACAGCTGCAACCAGCTTGGCTGTCTCTGCCCTTCACTCCATCCTGCCCTGATGACCTCCATCTGCCACGCAGGTGGCCAGGAGCCTGGCTGATCAGAAGCACTAGGGGCATTTTGAGAAGCACTTCTTTGCATGCCTTGCCCCCAAACCGTTGAATAAGAATGAATCTGTACTTGCAAAAAGTGCAACCGTTGCCCAGGAGGATAGCTGCCACACTAGCATGCAGTAAGAACTTTCCCATGGGCCCTGGCTGCAAGGGCCACGCCCCCCCCCCCCCCACCATTGGGTTTACAGGTTGCCCTGCTGCAGCTCCACCCAAGATAATCAACTATGATGAACCAGGTGCCAAAAAAGGGCTCTCTTTCCTTCAAGGTGAAATGCCATAATTTTAAACACTTCTGTTTTGAAACATTCTCTGGCAGTCTCTGTGAATTTTCCAGGAGACTTTGGAACATCTGGGTTGTGTTCTTTCTTTTAAGTCATGGTTTGAAGTGGGAAAGATAAAAATTCTAAGACCAGCAGAAAGGAAGGGTCTAGTGCAGGCAGGGTCCAGTCTGGTGTCCTCTATAGGGTCCAGGATGAGCGCTGAGTGGGTTGGTGAGAAGGCCCCACCCCTTTCATACGGCCCCCATCTTCTGCCCTTCTCCGTCAGGATGTGAAGATCTTCCGGGCCCTGATCCTGGGGGAGCTGGAGAAGGGGCAGAGCCAGTTCCAAGCCCTCTGCTTTGTCACACGGCTGCACCACAATGAGATCATCCCCAGTGAGGCCATGGCCAAGCTTCGACAGGTGAGCCCCAGCCCTGCGGTCAGCCTGGACTCCCCCAACCTCGTCTCCCACCAGCCTCTCTTCACGCTTTTCCTGGACCCACTGTCATTGACTTACTTGAACCCTCATCCCTAGCAACCTCTTCTCGCTCTATAGTTCTGAATCCCCTGATTTTGCCCCACACCCCACCTGACCCCATAGGCTTAGATCTCTGATCTACACCAGCTCCAGATTCCTGCAGTCCCCTGGCCTCAGCTCCTCCCCATTTATGATGGAGATGGGGTGGGGCTTGGACTCTGAAGTCGGATCTGCCCTTAGACCCACACCCCCACTCATTATTTGGTGACATTGGACAGATTACCTCACCTTCAAAGCCTCTATCTTAGTGAGAAATGGGTTCAAGTGAGAATGAAATGAGAGAATGCATGGAAAGTGTTCCATGGGCTGTTCAGAACACTTCAGCCCACTGACCCCTCCCAACTCCTCCCTGGGCTCCAGCTTCATCTAACTTCCCGCCACTAACCAACAGGGCATGCCCCAGGCATACCCAACTCTGCCAGCCCTTTCCAGAGAAACTCAGCTCCTTGGATGTTGAAAACTATGGAATCCCAGAGGTCATTTATCCTGGGTCAGCTTGCCTGGCCTGCCCACCTCTGCCACCCTTCACCCCCTAGTAACACACTGGAGTTCTCCACCAGGCCCCAGCAGTCAGCCCAGTGACCAACTGAAAAGGTTTGACTGCAGCTCTGGGATTGGTTCTAGACCAGCTGGTGGGGGTCTGCTGCCCTGCTAGCCCCGAAATTCTAAAGGCACCAGCCTGGGCTCGTCTGCCTCTCAGCTATCGGGATACAGGCAGGCGCCAGAAGGCCGGAGGGAGTGACTCATCTCTTCCACGCAGAAAAACCCACGGGCAGTGCGGCAAGCTGAGGAGACACGGGGCCTAGAGCACCTGCACATGGACATCGCTGTCAACTTCAGCCAGGGGGGCCTGCTGAGCCCCAACCTCCGCAACGTGTGTGCTGAGGCTGTGGACGCCATCTACACACGCCAGGAAGACGTCCAGTTCTGGCTGCAGCAAGGTCAGCTGGTGCTGCTCACTGATGTGTCATATTGCATATGATGTCATGCCCTGAGAGGCATGGGCGTTCAGAGAAGGGACCTCCAGGCTGGGATAGGTCAGGGAAGGCTTCCTGGAGGAAGTGGCAACTGTGTGGCTCTTTAGTGATGGGAGTCAACCAGATGATAGGACCCATTCCAGGTAGGAACACACACAACTGTGACTCTGCCAGGCCCTGTGGTGGGGCATTCCCAGCAACTCCCACCTCACCCCTGCCCTTTGTGAGAACACAAAGTGGGACTTTCCATCTTCTTGGGGGCATAGGCACCAGGGTCTCATTGGGGCCCAGTGGCAGCCATGCCCACCTGCCAACCTTTGCTGCTCAGAATTCAGCTCCTCCCCTTTCCTTCACTCCTTTCCTGGGGCCAGCATCTCTGTCCCAAGACCCTGGAGGGTTCCACCCATTTTTGCATGAACCTTAAATTCCAGCCTGTGCCACCTCACCACCAGCCCACTTCCTGGTACCACTCCCAGGACTGTCCCCCAGTCTCCATATAGAGGGAGCATGGAGAGGGCACCCTTCAGCTCCAGGCCCCTGGTCCTGCTCAGCCTCCTGAGCATCAGAGAAATGGCTGGATTGAGAAATGCCTGATAGGCCCATCACCAGGCCCTCCACACTGCCCCCAAACTGAGCTGCAGCCTTGATTCTGTCCCCAGAGTCTGGATCTTTTCAGGATCATGAACCAAGCCAGGGCCAGATCAGTACCCTCAAGCACTCCCTCCTGTTACACCCCACTCTGTGTCTGGGTCACCCTGACTCCCAACATGTTTGTGCCCGCCTTTCCCTGCTTGGGCTGCCTCAGAGAGCACCTCCTTTAAGAAGCTCTATCATTCTTGCTCTGCACTCCTCTGCCCCATCTCATCTGGGGAGTGATGTTTTTAAGCCTAGCCAGCAGCAAGAGGAGGTCTTAGAGGCAAGCGGACCTGGGCTCCAGTCTTGATTATACTACTTACTCTGTGGCCTCAGCCATGTCCTTCAACCTCTCTGAGCCAGTCTCCTCATTTGTAAAACAGAGATGATAACTCTTCGCTCACAGGAGAGATGGGAAGAGATTCTGTATATAGAGTTTCTGGCAGTCAGTTGAGACTCTAAAAATTAGGGTGATGGTTATTTCATCTGCTTCTCCCACTAGCGTGGCGCATATGGCCCAAGTCTGTCTTACCTCCAATCCCAGGCGCCTTGCCTGTTGGATGCCTGAAGAGCCCAGCAGGGACTGGCAGCTGCCCCCTCCCATACACACCAGGGGAGCTGCCTCCCCCCCACCCCCCACCCCGCCTGTCCCTGACCCATGGTTCCTTTTCTCCTCCAGGAGTGGACAACTCAGTGTTCGAGACTCTGCCCAAGGCCTCGGAGCAGATGGTGCTGCCTCGCTGCCGGCAGGTGGGGGACCGCGGGAAGCCCTGTGTCTGCCGCTATGGCCTGAGCCTGGCCTGGTACCCCTGTATGCTCAAGTACTGTCACAGCCGTGACCGGCCGGCGCCCTACAAATGCGGCATCCGCAGTTGCCAGAAGAGCTACAGCTTTGACTTCTACGTGCCCCAGAGGCAGCTGTGTCTCTGGGATGAGGACCCCTAGCTGGTGGAGTGAGGGGGTGGGTTCTGAGGTGACTTCCCTGGGCCCACTGCCCCTCCCCGGCCACTGCACAGGGTGACAACCCCCAATGAGGCCTTATGTCCCTTCCCTTCTCCTAATCCCGGAGCCTCTGGCCCCATCACTCATGACTGTGAAAAGGGGTGTGGCATGGCAGGGGTTAAGTCTTGAAGACACCCCCCCACTCCCACCCTGTGCCTTCTTTGGGGTACAGAGGGAGAAGATTCCCCAAACTTGTACCCTTCTCCTGCTTCAACTCCCCTGAAGTATTTTTCAAGCAACCAAAATGTGATGGCCTGTGATACTTCTATTTAACGCTTGGGCAGTCTAGACCCTGAAAGGAGTCTGTGCCTGTTACACCGACCTCCCCATACCTCCTTCCCCTACTGTGGAAGGAGCAAGCCCACCCCACTGCACCTCCCATGACCCAGCTAGGGGTGGGGGTTGTCTCAGAGAGGGGACTGTTGGGGTCCTATCCCTGAGCCCCATCCCTGGGTCACAAAGCTTTCTCCTCACTGCTGGCCTCCAAGGCCACCCCAGAGCAGGTGGGGACCTCCCAGCCCTGAGATGCCACAGGTGCCTTTCCCCAGACCAGGACTTGCCTCCAGATCCTGCCCCGGCTTCGCCCGCTCCACACAGAAATATTTTTGTAAGGTTCCATGGCAGAGAGGAGGGAGCATGAAGTATAAAGAAAACTTGAATTCCAGATTTTTAATGCAAAGTATTTATCATTTGTACCAGAAATAAAAGTTTAAGTTTTTACTTGACTGACAGCTGTAGACTTGGCATTCTGAGAGAAATTTTGGCCAATGCTGCCACCTGGTGTCAGATCCAAGCCCTATCAATGCCCAACCTAGAGGGTTCTAAAGCACCTATGGTGTGCTTAGCCATGGTGGCTGGGGGTGGGGGGGGCGGCGTGCTTGGGGAGGGGTTATAGGGAAGGACAAGACAAATGTCAAGAAGAGGAGAGGATGCATACTAGGTCAGCAAGCCAGTCTGTAACAGACAGCCTGAAATGGATTAAGACAACAGATGAGATGAAAGTTCTGGAACCAGACTGCCAGTTTTGGGTCAATCTACTTTGCCCCTCTGGGCCTCAGTTCTCTCGGTTATAAAGTACACTTCCTTGTGAGGCTTAAGTGAATTCCTACATGTCAGGTGCTTAGCACATAATGAGCACACACTGTGTTAGCTATTATTATTGATAATGTTACTACAAGTGAAAAGTACAAACATTTCCTCATCCATAAACCTGAGACACTAAACTGGACATCTCCAAGGCCTCTTCACTTCAAAAGCATCTTCCAGTACAGAGACTATCACGTGAATTGCTGGGCCGGGCGCTGGATGTCTTCCAAGAAGAACAGATATGCAGGCTGTGTTTATTGGGGAAGTTTATGGAACATGGATTGAGACTGAAGGATGGTAAGAATTTGGCAAGATGGAAGGGACTAAAACTGGAGTGTTTTCAGGGGGTGGGAAAGTTCCAAGCGACCCACCTCACTAGGAGGAAATGGGAGAGTCAGGTCCTTCCTCTGTGGCCTTGGAGAGGGAAAGGAGCTTGCAGAGCAGTCCCCTTGCTTTGCTCTCCAACATCCCTAAAAAAGGCCCTGCTGCCCCTCAAACTTGTGCAGGCCAGAGTTTGTGGGAACCAGGCTTGCTGAGCCATGGTCAAGTTGGGGGTCAAGTTGGGCCATGGTCAAGCTGGGGGAGACATCCTTTCCAGGTGGGCATGCTTTCTTTCTGCACCTGTTTTCAAGCACCAGCAGCAGCAGTGCTGGGGGTGGAGGGCTGGTGAGTTTTGTGCCCACTCCGGGCCTCAGCCCTGAACACACACACACATGCCCATTCCTGGCAGGGCCAGGATTTTATGAAGAAGTCAACTCCATCCCTCTCATCCTAAGTGCGTGTCTTCATTACTGGCAGTGGGGTCCCCAAGTCATAGACTATTCTGACTCCCAAATACCCCCAGATAATGCTTTTTCTTTAAAGTCATGTTTGCAAAACTTGGAATTTTTTTTTAATCTTCTTTGGGCGTGACTAGTGGCTCCCAGCCTGCCTGTTCCCTGCAGTGAGGGGGCTTCTGGATAAGTCGCCACAGACTACCCTGCCTCAGGCCTCTTCCTGATCTTAGGGCATGAAGGTGAGAATGAAGACTCTCTGAGACTTCGGGCAGACCCACGGGGAGCTCTTTTAGTATGCCAAGTCGATGTCTCCTGCCATTGCAGACGACCTCCTCCCTCCTCCCCAAACCCCCTGTCATGGAGCCTCCAGTCACAGCAGACCCCAGAACCATGAAGGATTGGTTAAGATAGATGTAGGTGGGCCTCCCTGGTGGCACAAGGGGTTAAGATGCAATCTATGAAGGTGTCTGCAGCCTCTGTAGCATGAGTTCGATCCCCAGCCAGTCAGGGAGCAACCCACATGGCGCAGCAGACCTCTCCTGACTTGCCCGCTGCTCCCCTCAGCAGTATATGTCAGTCAATCTGCCTGTTCTGTTCCCCACTCTGTCTCTGGTGAATCCTCTCACCCCCCCACACCTCTGGCCTGTACCCCAGTTCTTGTGTGTATAAATAAATAAATCTTTAAAAAAAACAAAAAGATAGATGTAGGTTAGGTCTCTGGTGAATCCTCTCACCCCCTGCACCTCTGGCCTGTACCCCAGTTCTTGTATGCATAAATAAATAAATCTTTTTTTTTAAAAAAAAAAAAAAAAAGGTAGATATAGGTGATTAGCTCTTTGAGAGAGACGGAGCTAAGGTTCTACTTTGGGAATCTTTGCAGCCCTGTGGCCACACCTGGGAGAGATAAGGACTTACACAAGTACTCATCTTTAGGGCTACAAAATGCCTTCATACAAACTAGCTCTTTGATTCTTTGTAGCCAACGACATTTTATGGAGATGGCTCGCCTAAAATTCTGTGACTTGCCTAAGGTCATACTGCTAGTTAGTTGGCACAGAGCTGGGCTCCAACCCTGGACCTTCTTACTCCATTCCCACCTACTGACTCAAACGGGCTCATCGGATTGGCCAGCTGGGACCTCAGCACTGCTGGCTGTGAGAGGACAGGTGAGGAGAAGTACTGTGGTGAGTGTGGGGAGCACTGGGGCCTGCTCTGTAGCAGCAACCACTGAGTACATGGGGCAGCGGGGCTCATAACACCCCTGGATTAGTGTTGGCAGGAACCAGTTCTTGATTGGGTCCCCTTTGGCAAGGTAAGTAAGGAGCCCAGGGCAGGAGCCCAGGCACCCAGACCAGCATCTTCTCAAATCAGAGGAGACTCAAGTGGTGTCAGGCACCCCCTGGCAGGAGCATTGCAGCCGAGGCCAGGATGTGCTATGCATCCTTCAGACTCCTCTTCCTGTGGTCTTGTCAGCCACAGGAAATCTGGGATGGGGTGGAGGGGAGCACCCAGGACTTGCACAAGATGGGGAGAGTAGATGAGTGGTCTGACCAAAAGTTGGGGGGTGGGGACAGTGAGGACTGACTACTCCCAAGAAACAAAATTTGGCACTAACAGTGTGTATAAGAAATGCATGTATCAGCTTAGTCCCAGCTCCGTGTCACCACAGAGGGTCACCCCCCTTATAAGCCCCCAGACCTCTCCTATGCTGAGAGAGGTCATCTCTAAAATCTTCCCAGCATGGACAGTCGTGTGCAATGATAATCGCTGCCTGCTGGTTATTAGCCATGTGGCTACCAAGGGGGCACTGAGTTGCTTGCTGTGACTTGGCCTTACAAGTCACACTGTAGAGAAAGATGAAAATGAAAATCTGTAGCAGCCAGTACTTGGTAGATCCTGTCAATTTGCCCTCCAATTGGGAAGGTCCCAGTTTAAACTTTCACTGGCAGTGTATGAAAGGCCCCACTTCCCCCACATTCCTGCAGCAGCAAGCAGGGTTCTCTAAAATTAGTGCATGCAATTGTGACGGTGGCAAATCCAATATCCTGGCAGGCTGGCAGCTTAGGTGAAAGTTGATGTTGCCATCTTGAGTCTAAAATCTGTAGGGCAGGTTACAGGCAGGCTAAAAACTCAGGATTTCTGTGTTCCAATCAAAGGGGAATTCCCTCTTTAGGAAATCTCAGGTTTTGCTCTCAAAGCCTTCAACTGCTTGGCTGAGGCCCACACACATTATCAAGCATCACCTCCTTCGCTTAAAGTCAGCTGGGTGTAGACATTCATGATATCTACAAAATGACCTTCAGAACAATGTCTAGAGTCATGTTAGACCAAACTTCTGGACACCATCATCAAGCTCTAGAGACACATACAATGAAGGATTGCGCCTGCAGTCACTTTTGGTATTATCAAAAATTGTTTGCCATTGGAAATGAATCCATTCTTGGGTCTAGTCTCCATATCATCTATTGACTGTAGGCAGGTAAGGCATTCTCTGTTTGCCCCTACCCTTACCCCATTTATTGTCACCTTCCTCTGCTCTACTTTGCTCTGTGCCCCAGGATACTGGCCTCTAGATTGGCTGAGCTCCCTCACACTCACTCAGCCAGTGAGAGGCACCAGAGATCAGAGGACGGGATGAGAGAAGATTCCGGGCATATCTTCCCTGCTCTTTGAGGCTTCGGTACCACACCTCTGACACTGGCTCCATTGTTCCAGGGCTCCTGAACCCCTGTTCCTCTTTTCTGGCCTCTTCAGCCCTGGCTTTTCAGTCTCTGTTTCCTGTAACGCTGCTCGCATCTCTGCAAATGAGCAACACTGGCATTCTAGGCCCTCTGAATTAAGGTGACTCGGTCTTCCTGCAGAGACCCTTACTGATAGCAACAGCTGGGGACCCAGAAAAATGGACAGTGGCACAGCCTGGTTTGGCAGAGACTCAGCGTGCCCTTGGGTCACTTCTGGTAGGGCAAGGGAAGGCAGGCAGTTCACAAGCTCAGGGTCAGGCCCAACCAAGACTTTCAGAGATGGTGTCCACATCTGCTGAGGTGATCTCACCACTGTGACTCTGGCTCCTGCTCGGTGTCACGCTGGGGCCATGTCCTGACTGCTGAGCTGGGAGGGGCCTGATGAAGTGACACTGCTCTCACAGTGCCCTCTCCTGTGTCACAAGAAGCATGCCTTGAGACAGGACACCATGTCTCCACCGACCTTCATGGACACTGCCTTTCTAGATTCTTTCCATCCTAATGGTGGAGGAAATGTCTCTTCTCCCTTACCCCAGGACTCTAAACCCCAGCCCCGGCCCTCCCTTCTTGGAGAAATTGTCCCCTTCCACTTCTCTCTTTCCTACCCCCTTCTCATCAGCTCTGAGAACACCTAAATCTTTCACATCTGAAAAACAAAACAAAAGACACCGCAATGCCAAGTGCATCTCCACCTCTGCCCTATTTCTCTGTGTTCCTTTATAACCAAACTTCTTGCCAGGCTTCTCCTCTCCAGCAATTCCCAACCTCTGCTGAGACTCAAGGCTATGTCACAATCAAAGTCATCTGCTGCTGAAATTAGTGCACCCTTCCCACCTGAGTTGGGGCATCCTCAAGGTCTCCCTGTCCTAATATCATCACCTTGTGCTCTCATGTTTTCCCAGCTCATATATCTGTGACCTAGCCAGCCTGCCCTGCTCAGGCCTGGTGGTCTACCCTCTTGTTTCCTTTGCTTGTACATTTACTCCCACCTCCTCCTTCTTTCCTAGGAATCTTGATTTAGATGTCCCTTCTGCTGAAAATCCTTTCCTGATGCCCTAGAAAGGACTTGTTGCTCGGTGGCCTCCCAGAATGCCTTGCTCTCCACCCTTCTCCCAGCCCTGACAACTCAATCTAGATGACATGACAGGAAATGAGACTGAGCAGTGTTAGGGGAAACAAAAGCTGAAAAGCCAGGGCTGAAGAGGCCACAGCTGG